GTTATTTGTTTTGTTATAATATTCTAATATTTTTTCTTTACATTTTTCAGCAGCTAATTTAATTGAAGGTAATGTATTGTATTTATATTATCAATAGTATCTTCTGTATGATCAATAAGAAGATTATAAAGGAATTACAGTAGAAATTATAAAATACGTAAATCCAAACATTATAATTGTTACTTTTTTAAATAATTTAGTTCGAATTAAATAACAAATGGGGAAAAACAATTATCATATTATTCTATATATAAATAATTAGTTTTAATGCAATTTTAATAATACAGCCTGATAACCGATTTATTATAGTCTTTAAATATAAAATTCGATTTACTGCGTCATAAATTACTAACAACTTATTAATTAAATAACTTTGACGAATTAATAATAATTATTAATAATTTCAGGGGTCCCATCACTTTTTACAATTATTTATTATTATTACAATTATAAAATAGAATAATAATAAGGGAAAGTAGAACAACAGTATTTATGTTACGAAAATATAATATATTAAACGAATTAATAATATCAAGAACAGTAATAGATCGTTTATTACAACTTACAACTTTTAAATTATTAGTATACTAATATACTCACTAAAAAAATATATCAATGAAATAAACTATAATAAACTAAAACATACTGCAATATAATAAACTTAAATGCAATTTTGAGCTCCGGACTCACCGTTTCCTAGTTTATTTAATAAATAATCAGATTTTTAAGCATTTTTAATAATAATAAGGATCCACTGATTTAAAATGATCTAACCAAATTCTGATTTTTAAAAAAAAAATAAATCGATCAGGAAAATCTTCACATTCATTTTACTTTTTGATTATGTCTTCAGACTATGTATCTCGAAACGCGAAAATACAAATTTATGATAGCTTGCATAATTCTAATAATGATTTTTGTATCGGGCTTTGTGAAAAATTATGGAATGAATTAATTAAAGAACCCGTAAAAGACGAGTCTGATGGTAATCATATAATTGTTTTATAATTAGCTTTAATATGTAACATTTTAATAGATAAATTGAATTTATATTTAACAGCTATAAGAGCGACTCTTAAGCCTCATATTTGTGTTTCTATTACACCTTTGGATCTAAATTTGAAAAATCCAATTAGAACACAAAAACAAAGATCATTGATTTCTTCAATTATTACATACGCAAGATTACAATATCCTGATAAATTTGAAGAAACACCTGAGGTAAGAAATTATTAATAATCAATTTGATTCGCAGAAAATTACTAAGTAGATTATTATTTCTTCAGGATCATGTTATTTATGTATCAAATGATTTCGTAAAACAAAATAATTTGCGAGATGTAATCGAAGCAGAAGTTAGGATGATTGCTCCGATTGAATTGGAAGAAGTTATCATTGGTGCTTTGAATACCGAGTCATATGAAAGTTTGAAAAAAGGTTTTGGGTTTTCTCATTAAATTCATAAAAGTATGTTTATTTATTAAATAATTTTAATTAATATTTCTTTATTACAATTTTGTCGAATAAAATTTTCATCAAAGAAAAGATCCTTCCGCAATATCAACTTATTTTTATTCATCATTGCCTATAATAGTTAGACAATCGCAAATTTATAATCTTTGGCCAGTTTCTGATCCTAAAGTTTTAATTAAATTCAAAGCACTAATGTGCAATCCGGTTTTACAAGGAATTATTGGAACTCACACGGATTTCATTATAACTGATTTATCACAAGAAGCTTTGGGTTATGATTTTGAAGAAAAAGAAACTGATGTTAACCATGGCATTGAATTTGATTTTGAAGATTTGTTAGAAGAACAAAATATTTTGAATTTGAAAGATGATTATATGGATACCCAATTGGCTTTACTTGAAGTTAATGGACAAGATGTCGGAAATGGATACGAATCTAATACATCTACAACATCTTCAGATGATGAATGTTTAAGTACCGTGGTTTCTATTTCAAGAAAATCTAATTTTACTCCTCAACTTTTATCGTCTCCCTTTCCTGATTTTTTAATACAACCTATACCAAAAGAAAGAGAGGATCCTGAATCAAGAGTTCTAATTAGTATAAGAGATTTGGCCAAGTTGGGAATTCAAAGTGGGAGTTGGGTGAGAAATAATTTATTATTTATGTAATATTTATGATTATCATTATCACATTATATATTTATATATTATTATTATTTCATATTAAGGCATTAGTATCAGGACCCATTAATGAGAAAACTAGGTTATGCAAAATTTATGCTATCGATATTTCATCATCATTCACAGAGTATTTATTATTCTTTTTAATAAAATGTTCTGAAGTTGTTTCTGAAGTTTCTCTAGTAATTTACCTTGAAATTTTGTCATTTAGGACATCATGTCCTCCTGCTTATATTTCCCCATTACTTCATTTCAATCTTGGATTTTCTAACACTAAGAATTTGACTTCTGAGCAGCTATTCATTCAACCAGCTATTAGAATGCAATCTCCGCCTCCCGTAGCCAAATATTTAGTTGTTGCTAGAATAGCTTTTCCAAATTGTAATGATAGATTTATCTATAATGCCAGCATATGTGGTTTAGAAAAATGGTTTGAAGAGGCTGATAGGATCGTTAGTGAAGGAGATATTTTCTCTATTCCAATAGATGGTAAATGTCTTTTCAATTATTCATATATTATTATTATTATTATTATAATATCTGACTTATTGATATTGATATAACACACCAAATCTAACATTATAGAGGAGGCTGCTAGATTAAGGCCACAAAAAGTTGAGGGTGATATTGAAACATCAGATGACATTAAAATCGCTACCTCTCCACTAAAACCAACAACGGTTGTTCATTTCAAAATTACCGAGTTGAAACCTAAGAACAAAAAAAAAATGATGTTATATGGATCTGGTAGATTAGTGGACACTAAATTAACTAGGATTGAGCAAATAGGGATGGTGCATTCAAAAGTTCCCATAGTAAAACAATATTTTGGGATTACTTCAAAATTTTCCAATCAAAATTCGATCTTAACATCCCCTGGAACTCCTTATGCTAAACTTTATGATCTCATTTCATCTTGTCTTCATCCAAATGCTGTCACTCTTAACCTTAGTTGTACAGTCCTTTTACATGGTCCTCGAGGTTGTGGAAAGAAAACAGCGGTTGAATGGGTAGCGGATTCAGTTGGTGTGCATGTTTTTGAAGTGAATTGTTTTGATTTTGCGGGGGAGACCGATGCGAAAACGGAAACATCACTACGTATGAGATTAGATAAGGCGGTAACAAGTTCCCCATGTGTGTTCTTATTACGACATATTGATGCATTGGTGAGAAAAAGTGCTGTTCTTGAGACTGGTCAAGATCCAACCATTTCAACTATTTTGCAAGATTGTTTCAAGCAACTTTTAATAAATTTTCAAAACATTGGATATCCTGTGTTAGTTGTAGGAACAACAGGAGATATTGAAGAAGTTCCTGCGAGCGTAATAGGATGTTTTAGACATGAAATTGCTTTTGAATCACCATCGGAAGCTGCAAGATTAGCCATATTAGAACAATTAACGTCTGATACACCTTTGGCTCCAGATGTGTCATTATCACTTTTGGCAACACAGACCGCTGCACTCGTCGCAAAAGATTTGGTTGATTTGATCGCGAGAGCCGGATTGGCATCACTTGAACGGGTTGAAATTTCTTTAAAAAGGACAAATAAACCTATAATAAAAGATTTAGACATTGTTCATGCTGGAATTGCATTGACTGCTACGGATTTTGAGAATGCTCTTAACAAGGCGAGAGCATCATATTCTGACAGTATAGGAGCACCAAAAATTCCTAACGTTACATGGGATGATGTTGGAGGTCTTGCAGCCGTGAAGCATGATATTTTAGATACAATTCAATTACCTTTAGAACATCCAGAATTGTTTGCAACTGGAATGAAAAAGAGATCAGGAATTTTACTTTATGGACCACCCGGTACGGGAAAGACGCTTCTTGCTAAAGCAGTAGCGACTTCATGTTCTTTAAACTTTTTTTCAGTTAAAGGACCAGAATTACTTAATATGTACGTGGGTGAGTCTGAAGCTAATGTACGACGAGTTTTTCAACGTGCCCGAGATGCTAAACCATGTGTCATATTCTTTGATGAGTTGGATTCAGTTGCACCTAAAAGAGGAGAACAAGGTGATTCTGGTGGAGTAATGGATAGGATTGTTAGTCAACTATTAGCTGAATTAGACGGAATGGGTCAAGGAGGAGGTGCAGCAGATGTGTTTGTAATTGGCGCAACCAATCGTCCAGATTTATTAGATCCGGCATTACTAAGGCCTGGACGGTATGTTACCAAAATATGAGTGTAATTATTATGATACCGGTGTTTTATTTGTTTAATAATCTCCATTTTTTTGTATCAGATTTGATAAGCTCCTTTATCTTGGAGTGAGTCAAGATCATGAAACTCAACTTAAAATCATTCAAGCATTAACAAGAAAGTACGTGTACATTTTTATTATTTTAATATATTATATAAGAATTTTTTTTTTTATTTTACAAATTTCTCCCCTAGATTCCGTTTACATCCTTCATTGGACCTTCGCGCAGTTGCAGAAAAATGTCCATTCAATTATACAGGTGCAGATTTTTATGCACTTTGCTCAGATGCGATGTTAAAAGCAATGTCAAGAACAGCCGAGGCTATTGAAGCCAAAGTTGGTAAGTTTTTATCGACCAACTTAGTTCTTTTTGTCGTTTCACATGATTAATATTATTTTACTTTTTATGATATAGCTAAAATAAATGCCAATCCTTCAACAAATCTTCCAAAACCAATAAATTCACAATATTATCTTAATCATCTTGCCATACCCGATGACATACTTGTTGAAGTTAATCAAAATGATTTCGAAAGAGCTTTAATCGAATTAATACCCTCGGTTTCCGAAAAAGAATTAGAACATTATAAGATGGTTCAAATGAGATTCACTCAAGAAGAAGCGAAAAAATTTGGAGGAAATGATGAGCAAAAGTCATATTCTAATAGTAAGATTATTGACGATGGTGTAACTACCGAGTATAATGGTATAAAGAATGATAAAAAGGGTAAAGGTAAAGCAAAAGTTGGTTAGCACAAAATAAATTTTTTAATTTAAAAAAGACAAAAAATTCTTTGTAAGGTTGATATAAATAAAATAGGCTAATACTACGTAATCGTATTACAATGGCGTCATCATATAAATAAAAAAGAAAATCTTGCTTGATCATCATCGATCAATAAAGAAAGTCTTTATTTGTTTTACCATACGTGTTTGAAGAAAGAAAAATTTCCGGTTTGTAAATAACTAAAATAGGAAACATTCCCAAATATTACTTCTTTCACACGAATTATTTGTTAGATTGATTGATTATTTTTTTTTTAAAAAAATTTCATACAAACTTTTAGAACGAGATTGACATCCAGTCATTTAGTAAATGAATGATGAAAAAGAATTTCCATCGAAAGGTAAAGAATTACAAAAGAATTGACTATAATGTAACGAGTATAATGTTTCCTTTTTTATTAAACATGAATCCGAAAATCACTTTAAGTAATCACTTTGAAATTGATGAAACGGGGTGATGACCAAAATGAGGATATGATTAACGAATTTCAAAAACCAGACCGCAAGTTTATAAGTTTATTAACCGCAGTAGTAATGTTAAAATAAAAATAAATTAATAGAGATTTCCAAATATATCCACAATTAAATATTAAATGAAAGAACCCCTCTATAACCCCTTCCCATTAATATAATGCAAAGCAACAATCAATAGGCTATGGATTCTGTCTAATACATCCTAATACTTAATTTGGAATAAATTTATTTATGTTGTTGACTAATTTTTTTGATTGCGAAATGCGTCAAATAAATTCGAAACATTATTGTTATGATTATTATGATTTATAAAAAGAAAAAAAAAAAAAAAAAGAAAATAATTATAATTATATTTTTAATATATATAACTAATGATTTATATATAATGTGTTTGATTTGTGGGAAATTGATTTGATCAACTTGATTTTCCTTTTATAATTTTTGTTACAGCAAACGAAGTTTTTCCGAAAGAAATTTGGTTTTATTTTGAGTTTTTCGAGGCCTTTGATAACGAACCTACCGTGACATTAACGACGTATATACTTTAATTATTAACTAAGGTTGGTTTTACTTAACATCGTTTTAGTGTTGAGTAATTATATTAAGCAGTCTTCCAAATTTCATTCTTAAAAAAAAAAATTATATATATACATACGTATATATACACTTACATACAAATATATATATATATATATATATATATATATCAAAAGACAAAAACTCGGCAGTAATGTCAGCACCTGAGGAAAAAGACTTTAGCGTGGACCGCGCTACGCGACCTGAAAAGCCCGGTACCTTGGGTAAAGAGGTCATGATAAAGGCCAACTTCATAGGTGTAACAAAAGTAAAAAAGTTCACGATATATAAATATGTGTTTATTCATTTCTTCGATAAAAAAAACTTATTTTACTATTTGTTATATCTTTGAAACTAATTTAATAGTTTAGTTATCCCGAAGTGCATTATTATTCTTTTGAAATCGTTGACCAAAAAAAAAAAAAGGCGGGTAGAAAAGATTCGGATAGAGTATTTCTACAAATGAAAGTGACCAAAAAATTTGGGACAAACACTTATCCAACCTTTGATGGTGGTCAAGTATATTCACCAACCGAACTTGCAATAGGTCACAGTAAACAAACAAGGAGTTATGATGTAATATATCGATTAAATATTGATATTTTAATAATTTATTTTATAAATTTAATTAATTATTATTAACAAAATTGATGATTCTCATGAATATAGATTACAGTTCCCGTGGAAGCTGACGGCTCAGGACGTGAAAAAACTTTTAAAGTCGAAATAAAACATCAAGGAACGATCGTCCTAACTTCCATTGGAGATTACGTTAAGGATAATTCAAAAACTCCTTGGGATGGTAGTATTCAAAGTAATTTGACTGTTTTGAATGCCTTCGCAAATAATAAAGTTCGATCAGAGTACTTATCGGTGGGAAAAAAGGCCATATTTCCACCATCTCGCGATAACAGACCAATTTATTTACCGGGAGGCATTGAAATGAAACAAGGATTCTATCAGTCAATAAGACCTGGATGGGGTAGGTTCTCGAAATTACGATCATTTTGAAATTCAATGTAACAATTTAACATTATATATTATTATGCTTTTAAACTTTTCACAGGTAGACTTGTAATAAATGTGGATATTTGTGCTACCACTTTTTATCCAGCGGTACCTGTAATTGATATTATACCCAAAATCGTTAAACATCCTCGCGACAGACACGAAAAATCAAGGGATGATTTACGTCGCGGTCTTGATCGAAAAGAAATTGATGTTCTGAACTGGTATCTTAAAGGCGTCATGATGTTTGTTACCCACAGATCAGATAATCGCAAACCAAAGTATAAAGTTTCTTATGTCGATCATCAACCAGCTGATCTAGCTAAATTCAGGCAAGGCAATAAAGAGACCACAGTTGCAAAATATTTTAGAGAAAATTATGGACAATCCTTGCAATTTCCGCGGTTACCATGTATTGTCGTTGTTAAACCACAAGATAAGTCAAAATCATATTTTCCTATTGAAGTTTGTGAAATCTGTCCCGGTATGTGTATATATAGATGTATAGATATATTTTATTGTTTAAATGAGGAATTCTACTGATTAAAATTTTTTTTTTTTTTTCAGGACAAAAATTTGAAGATAAACAAATGCCTGATGATGCTCGAAGAGAAATGGTTCAAAGAACCGCCGTTAAACCATGGGATAGATTTGATCGTATCGAGGGAGCTATTAAAGGAATCTTTAGACACAACAACGACGAAAACTTGCGCTCGATTGATTTGGTTACAGATCCCGAATTTATCAAGCTTAAAGGTAAACTTGTATAATTATGATGGGGGATATGTTATACTAATTTTTTTTAAAAATAAAATTGTGTTAATCATTTATCATATTCACTGGATGATTTAGCTCGCGTTCTCCCACCACCAAAACTAACGTCTAATGGTGCGAATATTAACCCACAGGGGGGACGTTGGGATTTAAGAAGATTTACTGACGTAAAAGATTTATATCATCGTTATATCATTATAGAGTAGATAAATTTTTATTTATCAATACACAAAATATTTGAAAATCTATTTCTAGTGTCCTGATATCTATAATTGGTCGGTAATGGTGTTTGAAAACAGAAGTTATTTCCCTCCAGAAGTAGTAAGAAATGCAATGAAACAACTACGTAATTCTTTGCACGAAAAAGGCTTAGTAAGTATAACTAAAAAAAATCATTACTATTAACATTTACAAAATGATTAATACTAAATAAAAGTACTTGTTGATATTTTTATGTAGAATGTCTCAACAGATCCTTATATCGAATATGGCAGTCCACATGGCGATTATGAAAAAGTAAATTACTCCAAAAGCTAAACGGTTGATCATTCGAATGTTATTAATAAATATTATTCAATATTTGATATTATTTATAATCTAGTCGTTAGCGCTCGCTTACCAAAAAGCTCGGATAAAAAAAGATAGACCACCCCAGCTTATTATTTGTATAATTCAGAAAAAAGTTTTGGGAGCATCAGGCATTCACGCCCAAATAAAACGTATTTGTGGTACAATACTTGGTGTGGTTTCGCAATGTATTGTTGCAAACAACATGAAAGGTCCTAATCCCAATCGCTGGAGGCAAATCTGTGGTAATATTTCTCTGAAAGTTAACGGAAAATTAGGTGGTAAAAACTGTGTTTTGGCCGAAAGAGAACTCAATTTTGGAACAAATAAATCGGTATTTAATCCTATCGTTTTTTTTGTTTTTTTGGTTAATATATATTAAACTTTTTTATAATTATTAGTATATGGTCTTTGGTGCTGATGTATTCCATCCTGGTCGTGAAGAAAAAGGACGGCCAAGTGTTGCTGCAGTTTGCGCGTCAATGGATAAATCTGTTACTAGATACGTAGGCCGATACAGCATGAATAGAAAGATAAGGAATGAAACCATCGAGAATCTCGAGGGGATGGTGGCAGACTTGATAAAGCAATTTCAAAGAAGAAACGATGTACTGCCTTTCCAAATTGTGTTCTACCGTGACGGTGTCGCTGAAGGTCAATTTGAGCACGTTCTCCATGAAGAAGTTAAGGCACTAAAACGCGCCTTTGATCGAATTTACGGTGAAAAAGACGTAAAACCACAATTAACATTTATTATTGTGCAAAAACGTCATCACGCACGGTAAGGAGATTTATCATTTAATTACCCTTACAGAGATTTATTTATTTATTTCTATAATTTTATGCATTTATATTATAGGTTCATGCCTATTAGAAAAGAAGATTCCGATAGAAGCGGTAATTGCCAACCTGGAACAATTGTGGATACTGAAATCGTGGTACCTCAGGAGTTTGACTTTTGTAAGCAACAGGAATTTCTATGTTCATTTTGATATCATTTATAATGTATAATAATTGCTATAAAATTCTCGTGTATTTTATCTTGTTAGATTTGCAGTCTCATGCGAGTCCTCTAGGAACAGCTCGGCCAACGCATTATCACGTATTGTTAAATGAGGCCAAATTTCCAGTTGATGCTATACAAAATTTAACTTATAAATTATGTCATTTGTCCGTCAGGTATTGATAACGTTCAAAGAAGAGTTTTATGAATTTAATCAAGATGAATTACTCACTAATTACATTTAATTTCTAGATGTAATCTGACCATATCTCATGTGACTCCCGTTCATTATGCCCATCACATCGCAAATCAAGCCAAGCATTTCGTTATGTGGGATGGTGCTAGTAGCGGAAGATCTGGTAGCTCAGGTGGTCGTGGTGGTGGTGGCCGTAACAGTGACGTTACAAATGCCACGTGTGAGAGAATCAAAACCGAGATTGAGAATATGATGTATTTTGTTTAGAGGAAGTAGTGCGTATTAGTATAACTTGTTTTTCTTAATTTTATTAAATGATTTTATTAATTTTTTTAATACTATTGTTTAATGTTATAATTTCTTAATATCTTGCATCAATATATATACATACAATTTATATGCGAACGTTCATTATATATTAGAATTTAAAAACGTTTCTGTTATTTTATTAATATAAAATCACGTGATAGCTTTCTCAGAGAGGTTGTTTGGTTTCTTTATAACAATTAATAAAAATCTTTTTTTCAAACTAACTTTAAAATGCGCTTTTTTTTTAATTCACTAGGGAAGCGAGAAAAGAAAAATATTTATGATTTGTTATTTATTTATTTATTTATTATGGTTATGATTATTATTATTAGTTAATAATAATTTATTTTATTTATTGATTAATTATTGATCCTTTAAACTAATAATTGACCATTAGAATGAAATGAAGCATTTGTATGATCCCTTAAACCAACAAGCAAGAGATTGTATCGTTATACTTTATTTAATGCATTTTGAAAATGTATTGAATGGAGTAGCTTTTTTTTATTGTTTAATTAAGTGAATGATTTAATGATTAAATCTTTACTTTGATCCCAATCATATAAAACCGAAAATTCATCAGATCTCAAGAAATTGTCAACTTCGTGATGAATGTTGAATTTCCTTGCCTATATAAAGTATTTAACGACAAAAATTTTAAAATGATCTAAACATAAAATATATTCGATTTGAAATACTCATAACTAACCTGTTCCATGAATTCAGATACTTTTATTGTTAAACTTCCAATCCAAGATTGTCCACTTGAAGCTGTTTTGAGTCGCGCTTTTTCCTTAATCATGTCATTGAGTATATCTGTAAGTAATTCGGATTGTTCCTTTGATTTGTTGATATATTGTGCGAATTGCTAATGATGACAAAAAATAAATAAGTATTTCGTTTGATGTAACAATTTTAATCACGTGAACTAATTTTTATTACCCACCCTTCTAAGTCTATTTGAAATTGCGAATTTCTGAGAATCAAAAAAGCTTTGTAACACCACGTCAATAGCAACTTCAATATCAATTTTTGCTGTATGAGAACGAAGATGTATTCTATAACAAGAAATAAAAAAATTTATAGATTAAATATTAATTTAACCAAAGAGAGTAAAATTGATTATTGAAACTCCATTACCTTGCGTGAGCTTCAGCCAAGCGCAACATGGACTCTAAATAACGAACCGTAATTGGGATACCGCCATTTTGCGCCTAGTTACAAAATCAATTGTTAATTCTGATTGATAAAAAATTAATATTTTATATAAACATTACCTCTCTTCTCAATTTTGAATAAAGGTCCGAAACCAAGTTTTCATTAATATTACTCAATTGTGGTTTTATCTGCTTTGCGTAAATGATATACTTTCTCAAAAGGTCTTGCGGAATTGTCTGTTACGAAAAATAAAAAAAAAATACATATTCATATTATAACATAAAATATTAGTTAACATCATGAGATAAAGAAATATAATGATAACTTACTGATTTATCTTGTTGAACAGATGGAACAATTGTGTGATCTGGATGACTTTTGACATGACTCTCTACCACAAATTCTGCAAGGAATTCATCTATCGTTGGATCAACTGTATCTTTGACAACGCAAAGGACATCAAAACGCGAAAGGATAGGTTCTGTTAATTCGACATTATCTGAAAACGATTTAGATGTATTATATCGACCACCAACAGGATTTGCTGCCGCGATTACAGCACATCGAGCGTTGAGCGTGGAATTTATTCCTGCTTTTGAAATTGAAATAGTTTGTTGTTCCATAGCCTCATGAATGCTCACTCTAAAATTATTTTAGACAATAAGCGTTAGGTAGGTAAATTAATTGGAAAATAATTTTATTAATGAGTACTTACCGATCCTTATCTTCCATCTTATCAAATTCGTCGATTAAACATATACCATTATCAGCAAGTACGAATGCGCCACCTTCTAAAGTCCATTCTCTCGTTATAGTATCTTTTTTCACTGATGCAGTGAGACCAACAGATGATGAACCACGACCAGATGTATAAACAGCACGATGTGCAGTTTTTTCGACGTACTTCAAGAATTGAGATTTTGCTGTGCCAGGATCTCCAAGCATAAGTATATTAATATCACCGCGCAATCGGTGTTTATCTTGAATATTTTTAGCTACTCCACCGAATAATGATAAAGCTATAGCCCTTTTAATGTCCTCATGACCATAGATAGAGGGAGCAATACTTTGATATATCTAATTTATAATATAATTAATATTTTTTTTTTCAAAACAAAATTTGTGAAAATGTTATTAACCTTATTAGCGATTTTCGGATCTTTGGCAAGGTTTTTCAATTGTTCCCTATCTTCATCCGTCAACCTATAAGTTGAGTATAGGTCCTCCCTTTTAACAATATAATTTGCCTCAATGATAGTAGCAAATACCGGAAATCCATTTTTTATATTTAAAGAAAAATCAAAATTATTACGATATACACCGGTGACTTCCTGGAAACAATATAAGATTAACATGAGTAATGTTATTTCAAAATACATTCATTATATTTACAACGATGCATACAATTTCGTCACCAGGTTTCACGGTATCTATAAGATCACAAAGCAAAATAACCTCCCGATGTCGAGGCAACCTCCCAGCAGGGATTGTACCAGGAGTTTCTTGCATAGTGATTTTTTGGTAATCGCTATACATTGTCTGATGGGCAAATTGAATTAATATATTGTTAAGAAATCAAAACCGAGGGCTGGTTTACATTATCTCACCTGTTCTGTATTCAAACTGAAAGGTCCTTTGGACTGACAATGACTACAGTGATTTAGTTTTATCTCTGACTGAAGATCTTGAGTGTAAGGTCCAAGAATTCCACCGCACTTTAAACAATTATATTTCACAAACTTTAACTGAGGAAATACACCGGTTCGCCTTGTTACAACGCCCGAAACGCGTACGAAAGTATTGAGGTGAGTATGCCTAATAAATGATTTTATAAAATATCTCGTCATTGAAATTCATGTTAATAATCTTTTTACTTATAGATAATCTATTACCTGAGATCTCTAAGTGTGTTTAAGATTGGGTAATCTATTATCCGAACATGCATCTCTTTATTTAATTCCTCATAATGCGGATGTTTTTTAAATATAACATCAGTTGCAACTTCATCAAAAAGTTGCAGCATTTCCACGGGTGATCTCTTAAGAAATCTCGCTAGAATTGGTTTATCAGATTCTAAATGCTTGTAACTGACTTCCAAACTCTGCAATTGATCTAAAAATTTTTTTATATATCAAAGTCTCAATTTTAAAATATTCTAAAAATGAGATTTAAATAAATAAATCGTTACCTTTTGTAAGTTCTTCAATTAAAGGCCAATATACAGATTTTCCATCTTTTGTATACTTGCGTAAGAAATTACTGAACTGACGCACGATTCCTTTTTGTACAGCAGGATTTTTAATCCATTCACCTATAGAGGAAGCCTTTACATCTGCTAATTCTTCATTATTCATACCCTAAAAACATTTATATAATTTGAAAATTGATCTGAAGTTCGACCAAATAAAATGAAGTCATATTAAAGAATATACCTCATAATCATCGTCATCACTTTCTTCATCAAATTCGCCAAGTTGTGGAGCTGTTCCTTGTAGCTGAATTATTTCAGGAACTTTCCGACGACGACGTTTGATTTTATCTTGCAAATAGTTATTTGCTGTATAAAAATATATTATAAGCAAGCAATAAATAAATTATATCATGACATTAAATTAAGATTTTAAAAATTTAATTTCGTACTATCTAAAAGATAATCAGCTGCTGTGCGTCCATCACGCACGTCGCGTTCATCCATCATCCTTTCTAAATTTCTCCGTGCAGTAATATCTAAATCTTCATGAGTTTCATCATCAATATGATCTGAATCATAACGGTCTAACTCAGGACGCTCTTCATAATCCCTAATTCACAATAATAAAAAACTCATATACGTTAATTTTAACAAATAACATTAAAAAGTTCAATTCTCATTTAATATAGATACCTTTCAAAATCAGACGGATACAAATTCTCTCCGTCTTCCTCTGATACATCTGATATATCATCTTCAATAAGATTTTCTTCCACTTCTACGTCACCATCAGTATCCGATGGAGGTGGGGGACTTGTTAAATTCAATAAAGAACCAGGAGAATAAGGGTTTTGAGAAGGCCTTTCTGCGCTTGGTTCTCTTGGTCGTTTTCTTTCAGCCTATTAACGTGTTTAAAAGCAACCCTTTTTAACGTAAAGCTTATAATAATACGCGTTTATGCAAAGAAAAAAAAAAAGTAGTATTATATAGTATTTTTACATACCATACTGTGATGTCAAATTTTAACGATAAAAAAAAAATGTAAAAATAATGCAAAGACGAGAGAAATGATTGAAATGAAGAAAATCTAAAATCCATTTATGTTGATTGAACACGCGTAGAACCGGTGTTACCACAAAACTAACTCATAAATGGTATTATTCAACGTGATAAATCTCATATTGATAAGCACGTTTTTACAGCGGATTTGGAATATTTTAAGAACCACTAATCTTTTACATTATTTTTCACGCAAAAATTATAATTATATTTAATTATAAAGCCTTAAAAATAAAAAAAATTTTCTCGTGATGTTCAAAAATTACATTAGTACTAAAGAAACTTAACATATCAAAATTAAAAAAATTTTTTAAAGTACCTATTGAATTTTCTATCCAAAAAAGAGAAAAAAAATTCATTGAGTCAGTAATCTCTGAAAAACATTTATTCAATTGATTTTTTTTTTTAAAATGTCTCATTTTCTTAATTGCAAATATTAAACAATATGCTTGTTAGTTAACGTTCTCAAAAGAATTTTCCTTCTCAATTATCTTCTATAAGCCAAAGTTATGTTTTAGAAAAAAAATAAAGATAAACGACAAAATTCTTTATAAAAGAAAAGATAAATACAAACCCCTCTAAATTACCTTCTCTAAGAGGAAATCGGAAGAGAAATGCAGAGTTGAAGAAAAGAAACTAAAAAGTTTCTTAATTTACGAAGTACCATATTCTCTTTTGTCTTTCTTGTTATAGCATCTACAGATGTTAATAAGATTCACTCCATTTAAAATGTAATAAGTTTATTCATTATTCTAAAATTGTATTTTGATAACTGGTATTTGATTGAGCATTTTGAGCGAGAATATATACATTGTACATACAATAAAAAAAATTTTTTTCATTTCGCGATCAACTCAAGGGAGATTATTCGTAAGTCAATCTGATTTCATCCGATGTTCTTGATAATCTTTACGTCTCTGAACCCAAGTTTTAAAAACCAATAAATGTATTTATAAATAAATTCTATTAAATTAATTAAATGTTATAAAAACTAGTAAATGCATATCAATAATCAATTAAAATATGTTCTATAGGGAAATAACAATTAAACTTCGTCAAAAGTTCTATATTTTTTAATCAATTATAATACATAATTATTAAAAATCTTAGCTAAAAAGACAACTTTTTATTAATATTGTAAAGGTCAAATATAAAAAAGTATTTAAAATTTGTAATCAAGTGTTTAATAACATTGATAGGCTAAAAATGGTTTTTTTTATGAACATTTCATCAGATGAATAAAGGGAAAAGTATGATCACTATCAAACGACGCATTCAATACATACTTTGCCAACATGTCCTGTAATACTTCCCGGGAATTGAATTGATGAATTCAAAAAGTTCTGTAATTAATAATATTAAATTATCTTAAGGGTCAAATCTAGATAGAACAATCTCAAAATGATAAAGCTCCCAGTGGTTCAGGTAAATCTGACGCAGGGAAGGAATTATCACTGGTTCGGTTATTGGAAGTATATTTGGAATACTTTAAGTTATGAAAATGAGTATATTATGTATATAATAATTAATTAAATATCATCTTATATATTACATTAATGCATTTAATGGTATTAGAACGATTAAATAGTATAAACCCAGCTAATAGTAAATCAAAATCAAGTTTTGAATACTATATTCTACAAAAAAAAAATTGGTAAGAAGAAAGCAAAAAGCCAAATTTATGACAAAGTTTATTGTTTCCCTCAAATAATAATAACTCGTGTAAACGTGAATCAATACATACGGTGCAAATTATTCAATTTCAAAAATCGTTTAACGTCAAGAATTCCATTCCATAGAACGTCAATATTCACTGAAGTAATGATTTAAATCGACTCAAATAAGTAGGATCGATTTATCAGAAAACTCTATTTAAATCTGAAGCTAAGATATTAATCCAGACTCGTCATCAAATCAATGATTTTTCCTTTTAAATTGTGAATATACATAACCCGAGATTCGATTTTCGATCAATATTTATGGCGCAGCGAATTTTATTAGAACGCAATAAAAAAAAAAATATATTTGCTAAGAAAACACGTTTATGTTTAACAAAGTGCCTTCTGGCTATTATCTTTTATTGTTTCATAGTAGCTAATTTGATACATAAGGAAAAGAGGAAAAGAATTCCAGAATACGAATTACATAAAAAAATCCCGCCATATTCCTTCTTTGCTTTTATCACTGGTTTTGATCAGCAATTATTTCGCAAAGAATTTTCACATCTGCACTAGCTATACAGGTTAAAAAAATTGAAGCGCAAACAATATGATAAATCACATTACTCCGTTATTTTTCATGGCAAATAGTTACGATCGAATCATGTTGTAAACAAAAAATGTGGTTGGTTACTGGCACGCTTATCAGGATCGATCAGAGGCGATCATCTATTTTCGTGGATCGGTTTGACTGATCACTTATCGATTTAATAACCAATCATTTAAGGGCACATTTTGCGGTCAATCCGATCCGATCTAGAATTGAACAGGGCTACTGTACATAATAAAATTCATAAGCCACGAAGTACGGGCAAATTATTTGTTCAGTATTTTGTAAGATTTGTTTTAACTATGTACAGAATTATATCATTCCCTTTTATTTTACATCACATTGCTATTTTTCGGTGCCACAGAACCCTTGTTTTTTTGATATAATTTCGTGAACCCGTTAATATAAAATCAGCATTTCAACTTAAATTACTTGCCAATATCTATCGAAAAAACTCCCTTTTCTTGTAACCATGCCTCTTCAAATAAATTCTCTTTGATCATGGCTTTCAAAACATCTATTTCATCTCTAAACTTTCTTTTGTAATCAACTCCAATCCGATTATTCCAGCACCGGCAATGTTCAATCTACTGAGAAACTCTTCAACTCTATATTTGGTGCCAATGAATGCTGACATAATTAAGTGCTGTCAGATTAATTCTTGACTTATCTTACATTAATTCTTATTAGTCCGGAGTGTATCGAAGGACTATATATTTCTTACTATTTGTCACACACTATTTGTCACCGGTAAATCTGGCATTATTACATGTAGCTGCATAATGCGGGTCAAAATGTCACGAGGCTGCGACTTTTTGGTGGGAAGTTTTAAATAGATGCGCCGTTACGTGATATAATGGATAAATTGCCTATGAAATAAATAATATTAAGGATTTTCTTGTGTAATGTGATGATGCGCAGTTGTAATCTGTAACCTTAAAATTTAATAAATCACTAAAAATTTTGTGTAATGTACCCTGACATTTATCCTTCACTTTTATACCGCTGACCAAAAGTCACATTACAGTAAAATTTTTGGTGTTTATACATATGTAGCTCCCGTTACCTAGTATTTTATACAAAATCAATCCACAATTAAAAATAATGTACGAGAAACAGATTATCAAGCATTCTTTTATAAGCGGAATAAGTATTTTCGTGTGTGAAAACATCTTTAACTAGGATATCAAGGAGCATTTCTAAGCTACTGCGGAACATTTCAATAGTATTAACGAGAGTCATTTTAAATACATCTTGTTTAGTGTGAGATTTTCCATTTCATTCTCGACTATCACAATTTCTTCAACAAGACTTGTGGACGTCCCTCAAATAATAAATACGGTTGACTTCACAATCTGAAAGGTCAAGAAAGCAATTCAGTACCAGAAATGATCACATTAACAGAAAGGTTATTTATAAATTTCAAAATGGGCGTCAAAATTCCTCATTTGGACTCGGAAACTTCCCAAAGAAAAGTTTGTGAGCGACGCTGGCTTCATAATTAGCCACGATCAATCTTCGGTTAATAAGTAAATTTTTATGAATTAAAAAAATAAACAAATATTAGAGAACTCTAATTTTCCTTCTATCTTTATAACTACTCATTTATAAGCTCATCTCCAGTGTTTGTAATACGTGTATCCATACGCATATCTGCATTTTTGTTTGGAAACTGTCCCTTGAGCCATTGATTCACACCTTTCTTTGGAATCGCACTAATGCTTTGCCTATCGACTAGATAAAGCTCCGGGATACTCAGTTATGCGATACCATTGTATAATGTTGTAACCTGGAATAGACCAGTTAAATGGCAACGGTCTATAAAACAATGCCTTTGTTAGAGATTTTCAAATAACGTGATTTATTAGCATTCCCATTGGGCTTAAAAGGTATAAGCTACTCATAAAAGTTGCGGAACAGGTTAAGAGCCTATATTCCCAGATCAGGATAAGATAACAAAATTTTATATTATTTTGAAGCAAAGTAGAATAAAGATTTATGATCTAGGCAAATCTGCTCGTTACACTTGCGTTCTGGACTTAACTAAAAATGCCTTGTCATACATGTTAACATTTCTTGATTAAGCATTAAGTCGATCACTTGATAAGGAATGTTCTATTCGGTGTGTGATAGAAATGCGAGATAAATCACGAAAAATCCATAATTACCCTTAGCAAATGAATTATAAAACCATTTCAATTAGAAAACTTTTGCAGGAGTTCGCAAAAGATCGTGAATTTCATTTTTATGCCCTTGGGGAAAAGTATATTTTTTAATAGAATATTTATTAAATTAAAATTAGAAAAACAAAATGTCACTCAGGGACAATCAAAAAAAAAATTTATCAAATCATATGATACAGCGATATTAGCCAAATTAGTTAAATTTTAAATTAATGTATCCCCAATTTGTCTCACTTGTCTAACTTGTCTCACTTGTCTCATCTAAACAATAAATTACAAATTTCCCTTTTTTAAATGATCTAGATCATCTTCCATTGAGAAATTTTGATAAATAGATTCATTCTTCGATTCTGGTTTTTTTGTTTTAATTCATTTTCTTTTAAAAAAAGAATTAATAGAATTATAATATTTTCAATATGAAAGTAGATGACAATAATGAAAAAGGCACCAACTCCCATGAAATGATAGTGGAAAATCAAAATGAAAATTCCGCAGAATCAACAGCCGTATCCGTGAATCCCATATCAAACGTAACAACGAGCGAAATTAAAAAAAAAAACCTATTAGAAGAGGAAGCATTTGAACCACCAGGAGATGAATTTGAAGATAATTCTAAAATACCAAAATTATCATATTGGAAGATATTTTTATTATTTTTGAATTTTGGATTCCATGCTTGGGGAGGACCAGTGGCTCAAATAGCATTATTTAAGGATAGATTAGTAACAGAAGGAGGATGGATAACAGTGGGTAGATTTAACCGAGTTTATGGAGTATATCAATTAATTCCTGGTCCCGAAGCAACCGAATTAGCGATATACTTTGGCAGTTTAGCAGGTGGTAGAATCGGAGGAGTATTGGGAGGGTTGGGATTCATTTTACCAGGATTTGTGTTGTTGATGATATTTTCTTATGTGTACGTTTTGGTGGGGTTTAGCAATCAATATTTTAATGCATCGTTTCGTTGTTTACAACCAATCGTAGCAGCCATGGTATTAAGAGCGGTTCATAAAATTGGTGAACATACATTTATTTCCAATAGAACTAAAAGGTTTAATATTTGGTTATTTGGTTTGGCAGTTTTATCCGCATTACAAACCGCCCTTAGGATTAATTATTTAATTACATTAATCGCTTGCGGTCTATTATTTATGTTAATTGATCGAAAATTTTTTTGGGCCGCTGGTGCCTTTTTTTTATCCGAAATTATCGGTTTCACTATCTATGTCATTTTTAAGGGTATCCCTTCGTTAGATTCCCTGGGGCTTGGTGTAGCCCCCACTCCTAGCCCCGGACATATCTTTGCTTTAGGATTAATAGCAGGCACTTTATCATTTGGTGGTGCTTACGTAATATATTTTCCGTATCAAAGAATTTCTATTTTTTTTTTTCTTTGTTATTTGTGAAGTAACGTTTCATTTTTGATTTGCAGACTGTCATTCCAATTATTCAAGCCGAAGCGGTAACGATCGGACATTGGATGACCCAACAAACGTATTTGGATGCATTAGCCATTGGGTAAATATATACGCTATAAACATAATTCATATTTTATTATATAATAAACCAACCCTTTCGTTTGTTATAGCAACATCCTTCCTACACCACTCGTTATGTTTTCAACCTTTATCGGATTTCAAGCGGGAAACACATTTGGAGGCATTGGATACGCATTTCTTGAATCTATATTAGTAACGCTTGCAGTATTTATACCATGCTTCTTAATGGCCGTAATGGGAAACACCATATTAGAAAAGGTGGTGCGAAATAAATTTTGCGCAGCATTTTTTGATGGTATTACAGGTAGTGTCGTCGGTCTCATTGCCGTAACGGCTTTAGATTTATTAAAAAGTTCTATTACCACTTCCACCGTTTTGATCAATATATCGGATGATGAAAAGCCTCTAATCTCCGCTCAACATAATAGTATTGCCGCTGTGGTTTATATGATCTCTTTGGCTGCCTTGTATTCCTTTAAAACTCCTTATTTGCCCTTGTTGTTAGTTATATTTGGCGCCATTGTGGGTCAATTCTTGTTCGTTTGATCAGATCTTAAAAAATTATAAATAAATATTTTTATTGTAAATCCTTTTCTATGAATTAATGATGAATTAATTAATTATACAGTAAATTTCTATTTTTAAGGTATCATTTAAAAGGTAACATCGATATCACCATTCTTCGTATTAACGACCAAATTACCATTTCCTTCTCCAACTTTACCCTCTTTCTTTTTACTTTCTTTGGTAGTTTCAATTGAAGCGTTATAAACCATAATTTTACCATTACCCGTCGTTACATTATAACCTCCATTAAAACTAGAATTCTATAAAAAAAAAAAATAAAAATAATGTATCATTTCAAAAATGGAGGGAAAAAAATTTAAGACTTACGAAATTTAATTGAATGAAACCATTTTTATTGGTGGTTTCAATCTTTGGATTGGTTGCGCTAGGATCAACTGTTACGTTTAATTGGATTTTACCGTTATCAGTAGCGGCGAATAATTCACTTGTAATTCCTAAAACGGAAGCATTAATATCCCCATTATTAGTATTTAAATTTAAACTTTCCACTGTAAGATTTCTAACATCAATTTCGCCATTTATCGTTGTTAGTTTGACCTTTGAAGAGGTGTAAGGTACCGAATTTGAATAAATCACAATATCGTTTACATCTGTTACAATCGATGTGGTAGCAGGAATCACTTGTGGAAGTATGACATCCACCTGTGCTAAAATACATCTTGGTGGAAAACTAAGATATCCCACCCACGCAAATGCTCCTTTAAATGTATTGCTTCGTTCCTAATCAACATGTACGACAAAAGTTTTTTTTTTTTAGTATCTAATTATTACACATGTTAAATCGCACCCGTACGAGTTATACATACCACGGTAATTCTCTTTATAGTTTCAACGTCTTCACCTTTAACCGATGCTTCATTTGTTTTGGTGGCCGCGATACGAACCGAAACCGTTACATTTGTATCGCTAGTTGAATTACTTTGTGAAACATATATTTTTCCCGTCTATAATAATTTTTAACCATAATAAGAATAATAATAAAGAATGAGAATCATCATGATCATACTTTTTAATTTACTTACTTTGGTCATGATACTGTTGAGTGAGTTGAATGCGAGATTTTGAAAAATGTTCGGATCATAAGTAAAGTTGGTGGGTATAACGTTATTAATGTCCACTTTTTCACTGAGTTTATTACAAGCATGAATATTAACTCCCGCGATAATCTATTTTTATTATAATCTCCGATTAATTAATTTGTTTTCATTGTTTTTACTTTAAATATCCATCATCATGTCATGTTTCTACTACTTACAGCCAATATGATAAATATTACAATAACTAAACAGCAACAAGTTCCGACTGCCATAATGATAGGAGTGCAAACACAACAACAACATTCTGTTGCTACTCCTCGCGATTTCTCGGATTCTGACGGATTAAATTGTATCTTTGATTTTCTTGACATTTTTTTCGATTTTACTTGGCGCAGTTACGTTTCTTTCGAAATGGGAAAGGAAAAAAGGATATATATTGAAAATTTGAAAAATCAAAAAAATAAATACCATTACTTTCTTTTATACCATCTTTTTTTTAACATGAGATCAATCCAAATGAATTGAATGCAAAGCCAAACCTTACACGAAAACCATTTCTTAATATCATTTTCAAATTAAAATAATAAAATAATAATAAAAAAAAAAAAAAATCATTAACACATAGCCACAACTACCACCCTTCTGCCACCACTTTCGCAATGTAACTTTAATCGATAATATACGGAAAAGTATTATATATCTCTCTTCCGCTCGTTCTACATTTTTTAAAAATATTTCATTCTTTTAATTGATTTACCCATAATTAGTATATCAAATCTGATTGATTGACCTTTTTATATTAAAAAAAAATAAATAAATAAATATAACTTGGATCATTTCAATCAGGCTTGGTTAAAAATAATGTACTCGAAAAGATTCTCTTTTTCTATTTAAATTTTTTGTATTAACCAAATTCGTTTTGAAAATAAACAAGTCTACCCGACTAACCCCTCAAAAGCCACAACTTGATCCGTTAATGGTGGCTTGGTCATCGAAATGTGAGGCTTAAAATGATTCGTTCGGGAAAATTGTAATACTTTAACGAAATACTTGGTTATAAAAAAAATGGTTATTATTAATTTGAAGGATAACCAGCTTTTAAATGACCATGTCTTGAACTGTCACTTTCTATTGAATAATAACAGGAATCTTTATTAAGGCTTGTCATTATGTCTTAAAGTACAACCGGTTCGTAATATTTGTGAGAAGTTGGGAAAGATGGAAGTTGAGAAAGATGAAAGATTAAAGGTTAGTCAATACCGAAATATAAATATTTTGGTTAGTCAAAATAAAATATCGTTCTAATTTATTCTAATATAATAAATAATAAAAGTATGGTTTAGCAATCTGATTTATAATAATACGAATCAAAGTGAAAATAAGAAAACGTTTTTTATGAATCAATAATCAAAACTATTAATGAAATTTTGTTATAAAACAATATTAATCATTAACATTTCTCTTTCTTTTTTGACTTTAGCATTTTAATTTCATCTCTTACAAAAAAAATCCTTTCTTTTACTCTGATACAGTATGTTGTTAACCCAATGGACTGGACGAACAGACAGTCTGTCCATTGGTTGTTTGTTTATTTATCTATTGATTCCAATAAACAATGGACAAATATCATGCGACTTATATAAAGTGGTTTGTATATTTTGTATACAATATTACTGATTATATAAAGAACAAAAAACTTGATGCTAAATATATTTGAACCATAATATCTATCAACGTCTAATATATGTGAAATTGAATGAGGACAGAATTGAAAAATTTAAAATGCATATTTGATCTTTATAACGTAAAATTAAGTTTTACCTATTCACAAATGCTGGAGATTCAGTCGGCAATAAACAGTTTTCTAATAAACATATTGCACTACGGCCTTGGCATGGATGTTCTTGTTATCTAATGATTGATTGTTTTCTATCATCATATTAATAATATCAGCTTATTCTATAACTTCAGTTTCCTCATCTTCTAATATTTCTATCCATCTATTAATAACATTACGCATAGTATCTCATTTCCAATTTCAAATCTTCGGAAAAATTTCTATACTGGTTTATCATCAATCCTTTGAGCAACCTCAATTCTTTCATTTGTCTTAGCTACAGAGTCTAATAAATATTGTTATACGTTTCTTTCATTTTTTTAAGTTTATCTAATTGATGTGCACAATACAAATTTCCTCGTAGTTTACACATAGCAAGAACTTTACATTGCTTAATCGATTTCTTCTTGATAAATGAAGAAAATTCATTGAGCTGAATAATTACTCAACAGATGCAGTATTAACTGCAATAGAAAAATATGATATGCAAGTTTTGGTAATTCAAATTGAGAATTTGATGTTACAAATTCCAATAATTAAGTATCTTATTAAATGTAGCAATATTAAAAGAATATTTTTTTTTACGATATATCTCAAGTTCATAAAGAATTGAGTTTAGTATCTTTTCAAAAATAATCCATTTTCCCAAATTAATATAATTAATATTAGCTATAGATGCAAATTTTCTCATAACAATAATTAGAATGAAGTAAAAGTGAAAGAAAACGTAAGGATTATTTCCACATTTCTATTGACGTTCAAGACAATCAATTATAGTTTCTTTAAATCTTGAATTGGAACAAGTTTTGATAACCTTTACAAACCAATAAAAACAATATAATACTTTAAAAAGTCTTACATAATTTCTTTGTAATTTATCAAAACATAAATAAAAAAGTAAAAGAATGTCTTTCAATTGTAAAATGTTAGTTCAAAATTTTTCATCCTTTAAAATATCAATAATATTTTTAGGAAAGAAATTTTTTTTAAAACTCTAAATTCATAGACATATTGCTATTATCATATTTTTTAATAAAAGTCTATAATACAATTATTGTAATATTAATATTATATTAATAATTACCTATATGCCATTTTATATATCAAAATAATAATAATAGGAATTTCAACAAGACGAATTAATGCAGGATATGTTTATCTTGAAAATTTTCAAGTCAAAGTTAATGAATTAAATAAAGAAAAAATTAAACATGTATATATTAATACTTTTATATAATCAGGATTACTTTAAAAAATATCTGATATATATAAATTTACTTAATGAGAAAATATGATAAGTATATTAAATCTTTTCTTTGCAATTAAAGTTTTTATCTTAATTTAAAATAAAATAATTATTAATATTTAATATATATTTATATATTAATAAACAAATTAATCAAACCTTACTACTATATTTTCTACTATAGATAAGTAACTAAACAAGATTTTTAATATTTTGTTCTTTAGCTTTTTTAAAAAGTTTTTTATAATATAAAATTGCTTTTTCTATTCATTCTCTTAAAATACTATTATCTTCTATTTCTTATCATTATATCAATACTTTTATTTTTAATATAATAAATACAATTTCAATTAATTTTAATTTATTACATTTTTCTAACTATCAAAGTAACAGTTATTCTTGTAAATTTTCTTATATTATTATAATTTATACTTATGTAACTTCTATTATAACTTCTTTTAAAATCTGACTAAAATAAGTATTATAATTAAAAAATAGTGGCGTTGTAATATTGTGATGCTTATTTATCACCTGTTACAATTTAAATTTTAATAACGTTACAATTTGTTGCAACATTATGATACTTATTTGTCACCTGTTGTAACTAATTGATATGCCATCTTTAGTTACAAACCATTTTTAAACCTAACCAAAAATTTGATAATTAAATATATTTATTAAACTATAAAATGAAATCTCTAGTTTCTAAATTATTAATCTATTTAAATGAATAAACATTTAAAATTATTATATAAAAATAATACAGTCAAAACTCATTATAGTAAACTTTTAGTTCCAGCTAATTTTATTTATTATAACGAATATTCACAATAATGAG